AAAGAGCAATGGAGGAGGGGCAGGGGGAGGGGGAGGGGGAGGGGGAGGGGGGGGGAAAGGGTCGCGCTACCAGCGGCAGCAGAGCAAAGGAGGAGGAGGATCGGGCGGCAAAAGAAGCTACGCGGACTCGAGCCAGGCGGCAAGGCTCAGCGGCGGCGGCAGGAAGGAGAGCGCGGTGAAGGCTGCCCTCCGAGAGCAGGGGGATGAGTTGGACAAGAGATTCGGGTGCGTGGTAGTAGCTTCGCAGAAGAAGCGCAAGATAGATGCAACTCCCCTCGTTCGAGTGTTTGTAGTCCTGCTCCAACTATTTTCAAAAGTACCCTCTGTCGCGCGTTTTTCAAAAGTTTGAATTTCCTCCCTTTCCCAGACAGACAGGGGACACTCTGTTGCATCTATTTACATGATGTGTACACCCATAATGGACCATGTCCACACACCACCGGCGAAGTACGCCCTGTAAGCAAACCTTGTGTGTGTGAGTCCTCTACCGGCAGCAGAAGTACCGCGTGAACACGCCCCACTGGCGGACATGCTGCTACTTTTCCTCCAAGGCAAATCCACCCTACAAACAACAGCGACGCTGTTCGTTCGTGTAGTCTGACTTGGACTACTTGACGGTAGCGGGTCTGGGCCTAAGAGAGTATTGCAGTACCCAAGACAAGACAGACAACATGTATGTACAGCAGTGCATAGGTGCAAAGAACTCCGCGGGTGGACCAACACTAACATTACATAGTGTCGCTTTTCCAGCTACACCCGAGCAAATACCGCCGCTTCCGCCTCCGCTGTTGCTGTTGATAGACACGAGAGAGCCAGACACAAACAGCAGACAAAAGCGTCTATCCCTTAAACTCATTGTCTACGGCATTGCCTTCCCTCTACAGATGCACATTGTTGCTGGACAAGACGTCATCCATGACATCTTTTATTACTGTTGTCGGTGCTGCTGTAGCTTGTGGGGCCGCCGCGCGCCTGCCCATGGTGGGTGCCTCTCGCACCCGCTCATTCGAATTTTGGGAGGAGTGATTTTTCGCCGTGGTTGTTGTCGTTGTTGTGGTCGTTGTCTTCACACGGATAAACGTCGCCACCTTTATCCAGGACATCCTCTTTCCTACCATACTCTTAAGAGGTATAGTATGTAAGCGAACTTGGGTGGGTACAAGCCTGAAGAACAATGCAACCATTTTGTAATCTAAGGCCAAGAGACCTCGCCTGTATTATGTTTCAATCGCACCACGAGGTTCTCATTCTGCTCGACACACGACAGCAGCATGCGAAAACCCAACCCGTGTTGCTTTTCCAGCTGTTTTGTCCATCACCTTAGAAATTAGGGCAAACACGCTGTGCATTTACCACTCTTTTGTCGCCTTTTTCAATGGTACATCCAGGTACGACCGGTACTCAGAGGGCCCGCCGAGACTAGGGTGGATCTTCAACATGCTGCCGACGTCCATTCCTGACGCCTCCGGCAACGAGAAGAGCGGGCTGGACATGTACTTTCTGGAGCAAGATGGCGGCACCTTCAAGGCTACGGTACGTACGTGCCGCGACAGGCGCGCAATCACGTGGTATGTTTCGCCGCATCTTCTCTCTTTGAGAAACCGGCCGGTGACGCAGAGTTTCTTATTGTGCGTGACATCGCAACAGCCCGGAGGTCCTCCATTGCTGGTGGCGTTCCTGTGCTAGAAAACAATGGAGTCGATGATAATCTGAAGCGTATCCCCTCGGTTTGTGTGTCAACCATCTGTTTGGCTTTTGCAGGCGTTCGAGACTGAGGCTGTTGTTGATTGAACTCAACTCATTTGAAGAATTTGTTGGTGGTTTCAACTCCCTTTTGTTTTGTTCTTCTCCGGGGCGCTCCGTTACGTGTCTGCGGGTCATTACATCGGTTCTGGTGTAACATCGAGTAAATTCCACGTATCGGTAGTCACATCGAATCCGTGTGACGAGTTTTTAGTCGTTGCGTTCAAGCTGTCGGCTTTGGACACACACGCTAGCGATAGATGCGAGGCTCGCAGCACCCATGTGTGTACCAAGCTATCTCGTCCAACGGCACCGAACCTCTTTCGCTCGAGCCGCCCGAATGAGAACCTCTCGCACTTCATGTTTGCCCTCTGGCGTCGTTCTTTTTTGTTTTCGACCAAGGTTTTCTACAAGCCGTACTTTTACGTATTGGTGAAGGAGGAGCGGCACATCCAGGACTGCATCCAGTGCATACGGCGGCGGTTCGAGGACTCAGCGGTGGAGGTTACGGTGGTGGACAAGGAGGACCTCGACATGCCCAACCACCTCTCGGGAAAGCTGAGAAGGTATGGGTTCGTAGCTGTCGTGACAGCGGTGGTGAGAGGAAGTTGTTCGTGGTGTGGCTTGTGCATTGTCTCGGGGGAGTGCTGGCACCAGGGGTATCCTGCGAAGATCACTTTGCTGGTGGTGGTGGCTTGTGGTTGTTATTGTTGAATATTGTTGTTGTTGCTGCTGCTATTCCGGTTGCCGTTGTTGGTGGAGAATGCTCTGGTTTACGAGGACGGTTCCGCCGCGGATGGTTGGCCACGTCGATCCCCCCTCCCGCCCACCCATCCTCCAATACACGGCTCGTCCAGGTTCCTCAAGCTAAGCTTCCACAGCGTGGCGGACCTGATGGAGGTGAAGCGGGCCCTGATGCCGACGATCCAGGCCAACAAGACCAGGGCCGAGGCGCAGGACGCCTACATGCACGCCGAGGCGCGGGAGCAGCAGCCGAGCGACTTCCTGTCGGTGCTGGTGGACGCGAGGGAGTACGACGTGCCGTACTACGTGCGGTGCTCTATTGACCTGGACATCAGGTGCGTGAGCGTCCCGCGCGGGTGTGGTGGGGGCATGCTCCATGGCTTCACCGTGCCCGAACAGGCTCCCTTGCGGTTATTGTAGTGTGCTGGGCTGGCCGCGCGCGCGCGGGGGTGATCGTTTGGCTCTGCCCGGCAGGCTCCCTATGTTTTTCGGTTGGTGATGGTGTGATCCAACAGGCTCTCTTTCTGTTCATATTGTATGGTGTGCGTGCCCCATGCACTGGGGGGAGGGGGGAGGGGGGGGGTGTACTCATAGTCGTGCATGCCGTATTCGTTAGACCATTGACCTCGCATCCCTACAAAGCCGGGACGGAGCACGCCGGGTTCTCACCGGACCAGGCTCTCACATCACCAAGCG